ATTTGGTCTGGTTTTATTTCTTCAGGCAGCCGAGCCATATTTTGTGTCATCTGACTCCGAAAGAAGACAATGCAAGGAGGGTTCTCAATGCATTTTGTCGAAAAATTGAGAGAATTGTAAACTTTTAGTCAACAAGTAGTCCCCATTTCAACACACGCGCGCTCGCGTTTCGCTCGCTGTACTGTTCCTGAGGAAAAATGGGGACTACTCGTAGTCTAGTAAACTTTTGAAGCATAAAATTTCTGGAAACGAGGTCTAGATGTAAACATATGAACTGTTCACATAGCACCGGACGAATTTCCGACCGGTTGAATATCATCGTACGTTTAGGAGATCCGTTAACAAAACCGTTCCAAAATTTGAACCCCAAAACCGAGATAAGGCCGTCTAAATTTTTGTACAGACGAAATTGACCATTCCTGTGTCAAAACCATACGCGTCTAAATGTTTGTTAGGCAAGCGAGTGGTTGAAAAATTCAAGCTGCAACGTCCGTTCCATGTGAACGAAGCAGAAATATTGAACGGTTGCGTTTGAACAAAGCGTCCGGTCAAATTGGCAATCACCTCAAATAGGGTCACCAAATAACGTAAACTACGTCATGGCTTCTGATCAGATGTAGGACGCCTTTTTTAAGTATATGCTTTTAAAAGTTACTTAGTTGATGGTAAGTTTTCTGTTCGCAGCTTGTATCTCTGGCGAAAATCTGAATGGTTTCAGTGGATTCGTTTCAAGTCCAAATTTTCCAAATAGCTTTCCACCGTACAGCAGATGTGTCTGGAATATCACAGTTCCCAGCGGATACATCATTAAACTCAGCTTCCTCAGCTTTCGACTGGGACTAACTCGGTACAGTCAATGTTATTTCCGGTATGATCCAGAAGCTCGTGTTACAGTCACAAATGTTGCTTCAGATGATGGGTATCAACCGTTCATGCTGTGCGGTCAGCAACTTCCATATCCAGTGTACTCAGTGGGGAATTCGATACAAGTTATATTCACGTCTCTGAGAAGTCAATACCCAGGGTTTAATGCAACTTACACGGCTATCACTTATAGTTCAGGTACGTGGTATACATTATTTTTTAAAACATCAATGATTGAGTTAAGATTAAAAAAAAAAAGAAAATGACCAACAACAACTTGCCCTATAAAAAGTAATCCAAGAAAGTCTTGGATTCTGTATTCCACGCTTTGGATTCTGGGTTCCAAGTACTGGATTCCGGATGTCAGTGACACTTAGATTCTGGATTCTAATCATAAGTAGGATATCGGATTGCTTGAGTAGAATCACATATTCCAAATCCTAGGATTCCACATTTCACAAGCAAATTGTAAAAAAAGGGTACGAAAACATTTTAATTTCCTTGCTAATGATCTACAGACTAGAGCTTAAGAAAAACGATTCAGTGCTATTTAATGAAATTAGGATGTGGAGATGTTATTTCCGAAAGTGGTATACATCACATTTTGGTATGAACCACGAACTTGGGGTACTAAACATTTTAACAAGGAGGTCTTATTATGCGCCAGCGATTTTATAGCACGATTGTCATTTGTATTAGACCTGTAAGAGTAAATTGTTTTGGACAACTTAACTTTTCCGCGTAGGTTTCAAGCATAAAAACCGGAATTCGAAAACATGTTGTTTACATTTCCTTATAAGTTAACAGCACATCGTAAATGTCCATAAAATATAGCCTCTGACTAAACTATTATAGAACGATTTATCACTAAAGGCATAGAAAACTCTCAAAATGTACAGTGCATCTTTACTTTTCACATTTCTTGTTCCGTAAGGTATGATTTATGTTTAATTGTGAAAGGGTGCACGAGTCACTGCTAGTTCTTAATTAAATTATCTGTAAAGAATTTTATAAGCAAACGTCAACATCACCATGTACAAACGCTTAAAAAAGACCTGAAATCAGGTACCCAGCCGCTGAGAAAGCCGATTAACAATGTTTTTTTTCTCGTAACGACGTATGATTTTAGCATTTACACCAATTACATTTTGGTGACACAGTGTGGTGACTCAATATTTCATGTCACCAGGCGTACACTACATCAATAGCACTGAAATCGAAACTCTCATCACGCATTTTCTCGTTTTTAACCAATTTTTCGCCTAAGAGATTTTAAAACCACAGGAAACCCATTTTAGAGAAGTACGCTGACTGACATTAATACAAATAATTCCAGAACCTCCTGTGATTATTTCTACTGGTTGTCGCTTATATTTTTACCTGACATGATTTCTTACACTTGATACGAGATATAATAAACAATCTTGCTTAGAAACTGCACATTGGCAGCAAATTTTAAGCTACAGCTAGTACTTGATATGTTATTGTTATCTGTTCATGGAAGATGTATCTAATTTCGCTAGCAATCGGCTTAAATTGAAATCATCACCATCAGAATCGGTTACGTATTCATACTCAGCTTCATCAGTACTTTTGTCATAATCATCATGTCATCTTCTTCATAGTTATAGTAATAGTAATATTTTATTGATATCCCTCTCGCAGCCTAAAGGCTGAATTACAAGGAAGGTCAGTGACAATAACAGAAGACAATACAATACAAAAACAATCAAATAGATAATTATGTAAATATGATTAAAAGCACTACATAACAGAGAAAAAATAGCAGAGCACAGGATTACAACTAGTCTTGAAACTTAATGGTGCAGAAATCTGCGAACCGCTTTGTCTTGGGGACAAGGCGCACCGGAACACGTTCGCCTGAACGGAGGCGGTATGGCCTGTCAATTGGCACACAAGGAATTAATGGCTTGAGTACCGGAGAGGACAGGCAGTCACGCATGATAAAATTTATGCAAGCTTCCACCCTTCTCTGGGAAAGGGCGGTGATGCCAGATTGAATTAGGGCGTCGTCATAGTGACAATTCGGCAAAACGATGCGTAGGGCCCTTTTTGTACATATTCTATAGCGTCCTCTAAATACTTTGGCGGTGCAGCCCAAACAGGGCAGGCGTATTCAAGTACAAATCTTACAATGCTACAATACACTTGCACTAGCTGCGTGATAGTGAGGCAGGCCACTTTTTTTAAGCGCACGCAATACGTACAAACGCTTGTTGGCCTTTTTGACTATGTGCTCTATGTGGACATTCCATGAAAGATCATCAGAGATATAGACACCCAAGAGCTTATAGGTCACAACCCTTTCAATAACAGAACCCCCAACGGTAAGGGGGGCAGGGGGGAATGGACTATACTGCATAAAGTTAATGATCATTTCTTTACATTTCTTTGAATTAAGTTACATGCCTCTGAAGGAGGCATATGTTTAGATATCGGATACTGTAAAAGGTAGGTAAGATGGCGAGCACCTAGGGATGATTTCCATGGCAGTAGCATCATCTACATACTTGACTCTGCTTTTACACTTAGCTGCAATTCCATTTACTAGGATGCAAAAGACCAGGGGGGCGAGTTTGGTACCCAGTGGTGTCCCGCCATTGAGCCGGACAGGGAGAGATAACGAATTCCCAATCTTAACCCGCTGACTCCTATTTGATAAAAAAGCAGCAATCCACCTAAGGAGATGAGGGTCAATATCTAAATTATTTAGTTAACTTAACAGTACATTGTGGTCCACAAGGTCGAAGCCTTTATTAAAGTCTGAGAAGAAAATTCTGATGTATCTGCCACGAGTGTCCAGTGCTTCCAAAATAGCGTGCATAAAGAAGATAAGAGCCTGAGTTGTCGAGCGACCAGGAAGAGCTTATTGTCCAGTTTGTTAAACACACTGGTAATCAAAGATTCGGCAGAAAATCCTTCAAGTACTTTGGCTATCAGAGAGGTCAGTGAGATGGGTCTCACGTAATTTTTAACTGACTTTGGAGGTGGAAGCTTTGGAACTGGGACCACAATGGCTTGCTTCAGTTGCGTTGGAAAGTAACCTTGTTCTAGTGACGAGTTGTAGATATCCGCCAGAGCTGGGGAAAGCTCAAAGGCGAATTCTTTCCATACAACAACAGGGATTCCATCCGGACCAGTTGTCACCACTGTCATCTCTGGGAATTTTCTCGCAACGTTCTCCCATGTCCGAAAAGCCACAGAGATCCATGCAGTTCATGTTAGCCTTACTGCACTGGCAGCGCTTGCTGGTACACCTTTCCTTGACACATTTGCACTTCACGAGATGAATTATGGCCTCAGGTGCAGTGAGTATTGTCGTCATGACGGAAATCCACGCATTGTCGTCTTTCCATTCCCAGCCCGAAGACCTTCGTTGAGGATAAAGCTGGATTGGGGTTCCTGTTACTGTTCCATACTAGTTATTGATAGTCGACAGATCGTATCTATCAAATATAAGGCGGACCTCATCACTGTCGTCATACTCTTTAAAAATTCGGTATGCAAAGTGGTCTGGGACGTCAAAGCAGCGTCTTAAGGACTTTGGCTTATCTAGGAGTTATACCGTAGCCATTGCATCGATGATAGAGACTCTTATTCTTTCTGCCTGACTTGCATGATCTTGAATAGCAGCTGCACTCTGTATTGGCCGGAAGCTTCTCTAGAATGGACAAAAGTGCACTTTTGGCCGGGTATTGTAGCATTTCTCCGTCTGGAGCGAACATAGATATCGGTACCACTGTAAATTCGTTCGTTCCAACAGCTTCTTGGATGTCGATCTCAGGTCGGCTTTTACATATCACCATCATGTGCGCAAACAAGTTTCAGTCTTCTTGTAACTCCACTATTTGACCGGCACTAGCCCGCGTAGCTGGCAGGATTTTTTTGCCCTGGGTACTTTTTTGGTGGCGGAGCCGCCACGCGAGGCGAGGAAGCCGCGAGGGGAACCCCGAAATTGACATGAATACCCACTCTTGTCGCGGCTCCGCCACCAAAACAATACAGCACTTCCACACGCTAATCCCGCCAGCTACGCAGACTAGATCGGCACTAGAAACTTTTATCTTCTTCCTCATGGTTTTCCATGTCTGGAGCTTTCTTTTCTTCATCGGAGACTAAAGATTGATGTTTCCTGACTTGATGCGATCTCTCTCAAAGGTCTCAAACAGTTTCTGGCTAATCTCACTTTGTTCCAAAAGATCCTTCTTGACCTTGCTTGGCATTACAACCTTTGTCACGACATGGAAAAGACCGTTGCTCTGCACTATGAAGGGATTCGTGAAATTCCTAATTGTGTTTATTACTTGTTCTATGTTCTTCTCTTCGCGAGAAATCACAGGAGTTGACAAGGTGTGATGATGAGTACCTTCTTTTGCCAGAGTGGTCTCCGCCACTTTTTTCGCATCCTGGGCTAATCAAGCAAGCTCAGGAGCGATGAGAAAAAAATTAGTACCGGCGTTTGGATTCAGGGTGACACCAACTAGCCCCCCTGAGACTTTATTTAGCAATTTATTTCCTCTAAAGCATGGTCCGCACCCAAAGCACAAAATGGCACACGCAGATTCTTGTTAACGACCCAATTACCTTCGAGGAATTCTTCATATTTCTCTGGGTCTGTTTCTTGTAGCATCTGTATTTCAGCAAGGTACAGTGGAATCACTCTGGCGTTGTTATATAAGACGGTCATGAGTAAAAAAAGGTCTTTGTGAACGACTGCGGCGATGTAAGATGCAGCTGCTAGTGCCCTGTTCGGACCGCTCTAATGAACTGGATTATCTCCATTATCATTCTCATTTAATATCCGAACACCTGGAATTCTGGAATCTGGCTATTTTCTTCCTCAAAGGTCTTCATTTTACCGATCATATCTAGGGACTTTATGGCCTCTTCCATTCTTGCACTAGCTAATTGGACCTCTTCCTTGGGGCCCGCATCACAAGCACTTCCCAGCTGCCTTACGCATTTCTCGAGTTGCTCCACCTTCTGTGGATCTTGTTAAGTTAAAAAGCTCTCTGGTATACTGGGTAAATAGGACCTGCAAGATGATCATAAGAGCTTCCTCTCCTCTCTTCGCGTGATTTCCATCAAGGATTTGCTTCACCGTTTTGGGGCCATACAGCTCAGACGATCGATTCCACTATTCTCAATGAACGAACCGAGTGTTCCACGTTGTGCCCTGACAACGTGTAGCTCACCAGGACAAAGAATCATAAAACTGAGGTCGTTCCGAGGCATCTGAACCTTCTTGGCTGGCTGGTACTCATCTTCTATTTTATGTCGGGAAATAACTTGACAAGGCAAAAAGCTTCTTTAGCCATATTTTTCATGACCATTCCTGAAGGCTTGATACGGACAAACACAATAGATTTTTTAAGAACTGAAAATGTGCTAATGTTCTGGATGAGCTTCCTTTGACTTTTTAAAAGCTCTAATTTTGTTACTCAAACAGGAAACATTTGTGATATTCCTAAATCATCTTGTTAAAGAAAATATTTTCGTTTTCGTAATCCCTGCAACCAACGAGGTAATTTTTTAAAAAAATTATCTCGATTTTGCAGGCATTATCAACTTTCAATCAACTACTCAAAGCCTCGTTTTCAAGTCCCAGTGGTCAC